TTTTTCTTTTAATCTACTGTATTGGTCATTCTCCTCAAAAAGTCAATGCCCATGTAGAAAGATCTAGCATAGAACATTGGTACAGAAAGTTTTGGGGTTTTCTTTCTTTGTTTTGTTATCTGAAATGCTTCCTTCTCATCGTTCCCGAGGTGAGCAATAAACCTTTGCCATGTGTTGTGGAAGAACTAAGATATACAGTTGACCCTTGAACAACATGAGTTTGAATTGTGCCAGTCCACTTACACTTGATCTTCTTCAATAAATACATACTGCAGTACTATAAAGTCTGCACGTGATTGAATCTGCCCTGTATACACAGATTTTTGACTGTGCAGATGGTGGACCCCATGCCCCTCATTGTTCAGGGGTCAGCTGTGCTTATTTCATATCAAGGTACATGTTAAGCATTTCATGGTGGGGTGTAAGGATTAATACTTTAAATGCCACTGGCTTTTAACTTGGTATTTGATTACAGACATTAAAATTTATACATACATTTGACATTTTGTCACATGTTAATAGACACCTTTATCTTCAAACCACGATCTTTGTCAGTATTAACATAATATATGAGTGGATAGGTAATTGAAGAATCACTAAGTATTTCTTAAATACAGTTATGTTTAAGCATGGGAGGGGTGTGGTTGCTTCTGAACACTGGAGTGAGAACTGGTAAAATGAACTGATTATTTATTAAAGCATGAAGTGTTGGAATTTATTTCTTTTTGTCAATGAAGAGAAAGACAGTACTCTGATCTGAGAGTTTGGCAGTAAGTGGCTCTCACAAAAGGGTCATAGGTGCAAAAGTAAGTGCAAGATAGGTTAATCACTAGAACTTATTTGAGGCAAGGATAGCAGGGAGCCAGAGATTCCTCCAAAAGAAGCTGTAAGGGGAAAGTGCTGGGGATATTGAAGTTTTACAGGTGAACATCTCCCTTTGTGATCCCTCATAGTGGATCAACAGAGAAAATCATCTGTTTTATGAGTGCTGTATAGGATTTAATTAAATATCAGAGTTGGGCAAGATTATTATGACATCCACTTGAATATGGTAGCTAAAACCTCAGGAGCAGAGTCCAAGTCTAAATGGAAAAGTAAGGGGAATGAGGACATACACTTAAGAGAAACGAGCAGACATTGAATCTCTACTAAGGGTAGAGCATGAAGAGTTGGAGAGGTAGGAAACCAGAGGACCACCAAATTATTAAAACATTACTTTTAGAACTTTGTTGATAGAAGAAAAGATCAAACAACATTATATTCCGTGTTAGAGTTTTGGCATTTTGCATGGCCTATATTCAGTGATCTGAAAGGACTTGATTGATGTCAATATCTATTAGGTTGAACAATATAAATTGCCGTCAGTTAATCATTTTAACCTGTAAAAATAGCAATTTCATATGGTCCAATCTTAAACCTTTATAGTGAATCTGAGTATCCCTTCCCATTTAAGCAATAGGAAACATAAACAAAGTAGTCTTTTAGTCACTTTTCTAGATTAAACTAGAACTCACCTTCTGACTTAATAGAGCTTTGCCCCACATTATTTGCACATATGATTGTCGAAAGAAAAAATCAACAATAGGGATTCTAGGAAGATAGCAGTGGTGTCAGAGGCATGGTTAAAATTCTAATTCCCACGAAAACATAGTCAACTAGGTAGCAAAACCAAAAACCCATGATCAGTGGATGACAAAGTATCCTCATGAACCCTGAGATGCAAGTTGGTTGGGGATGATCCACCACCAACCACAGAATCTGTGTGGTATCAGCAAATATGCTGAAAAAAGCAAGCAGTAGGATTGGCGTCTGACAGCACTGAGACAGGGAGAACCTGAAAATAGCTAACAGCTGTTTACTGGAAAGTGCAGTGGGCCAATTTAAGAATAGTAGCTGAAACTGAAAGGATTTGTTTCTCCCCTGTAGAAGCGATTACAGTATATCTGCACTAGGATAGCCCCTGAGAGATCTCAAAACAGACTTAGTTAGACTCCCTTCCAAGACAAGATCCTACACTGAGGAGGAACTTCTGGAATTGAAACACATTTAAGCAGGGCAGGAATGTGAGAGAGGAAGGAAAGAGAAGGACCAGATCAAAAGTGGAGGGGAACCTGGAAAGCTCAGAAAGCAGGCCTCCATACTGTTCAACACTATACAAAAAACTACAGAGAGGGAGCTCTGTGGACTTAGAACAATGACAGTAACCCCCCATTTTTCTAAAAGTTGAATAAATGAATTTCATGTAAAAATAAGCAACAGAGAAGTGTCAAGATCAAATCCTGCACAATGTTTATAAGGAAAAGTAAACCAATAACATCCCTAAAGACAATGAAAGCCTGCCAGAAAAATGTGCCTACTAGACAGGTCAATAACTGTAACTTACGATGTCAACCAGGTGTTAAAAGACGTAAGAAAAATGATACAAGACTTGAAGGGATCATGTCAGCTGACTTGTAGCAACTTGGATGGACCTGGAGAGCATTATGCTAAGTGAAATAAGTCAGAGAAAAACATACTGTATGACATCACTTATGTGTGGAATCTAAAAATACAAAAAAGTAGCGAATATAACAAAAAAAAGCAGACTCACAGCTATAGAGAGCAAACTAGTGGTTACCATTGTGGGTTAGGGTGAGAGGTGCAGACTTCTGAATGTAAGACAGGCTCAAGGATGTATTGTACAACACGGGGAATATAGCCAATATTTTGTAATAACTAAATGGAAAGTAACCTATAAAAATTGTATAAATTTGGTTCAATCTGTGGATGCACAACCATGAATATTGAGGACCGACTATAAAGTTATTGGCGGATTTTCAGCTGTGAGGAGGATGGGCACTTCAGCCCCTGCATTATTCAAGAATCAACTGTACATATTGTCCAGAATTTTATTAAAATATACAAATTCCCAAAACTGTGATATTATTTAAAAAATAAGTATTTGATGTTATTTTATCGGTGTTTACTTTATCAATTGTTTACTTTCAGACCTTGCAGTCTGAAAGCAGAGCAAACTTCAAAACCTTTAAGAAAAAACTTTTTTTAATTTTCAAAAAAAATTTTTAAATAAAAAACTTTAACCTTCCCAGCTTTTGGTTGTGAAGGCCCTAGTGGAGGAAAGCAACAATTTGAAAGAAAAATGACAAATATTGCATATAGAAAAAAGGAGAGTGAACTTACAGATAATGGAGTCCCTGAAGAAGAAAACCAAAGCAAAGGAACAAAAATACTTAGCACTATAATTCAAGGGAAATTTCTTTAAAAAGATTTGAAACCACGTATTGAAAAAATACACCAAGATCCTAAGAATACTAATTCATCATAACACCAGGACATTCTGGTAAAATTACTGGGTAAGCAATAAAAAGAAAAAACCCTTTTCACATCTGGGAAGGTGACATGGCCTAGGAAATTAGGTTACCACCAAACTGTGGCAGCAAAGATACAAAATAAGAGTGAGATAAGGATTTTTATACATAACAAAACTGACTTTTTATTCAAGGTACAAACTGTTAACAATGTGTAAGAACTCAGAGAATGCTGTTCCCACGAACCGTTCTTGAGGAATCTACCAGAGAAAGAGCTTTATAACAACCAAGATAACTAAAGAGACATTGATATAAAGAATCATTACTCTTTAAAACAAAAATTTTATCCTCTCAAATTCTAGCATTTAGCAAAAGATTGCATCTTGAAATTTTTACCTCCATGAAACTTCCATTTAGATTAGCTTAATTGCTTTTTTTTTTGTTAAAGTCACTATCAGTTGACTCTTGTTATTTTGAATTCCTGTAGTTTTCTACCACATCTGCTCTACTGTTCCTTCAGCCATTGTAACATCTTACTTTTGTTCCTTTTGCTTACAAAGCCCTAATTACTACTCTCTTCACCTTTTTAAGTCCTAATTTATTCCTGTCTTTCCTTACAGAAAGCCTTCCCTGACCAAAAAAGACTAGGCTAAAATAATGCTACAACTCTATACTACACACCTTGTCAGATGCATTTTTTCCATCTATATTCTAAACTATTTGTGTGTGTCTGCCTCTCCAATAGATTGAAAACTCATTGAGGGGAAACGTCATCTTAATCTTCATTGTTCCACACACTGTACAGTTCCTAGAACATGATAGACACTCAGGGAATGTTTGCTGAAATAAACTAAATTGTTGTCCAGAGCTTTTCTCCTAATTTAAAATGTACCAAAGAGTAAAATCTGTGTTCACTCATAGTTAAACTGCCAGGAACCAAACACAAATTATTATATCTGTATCACAGGGAATTTCACATTAAAATGCACACTGATTTCTGTTAAATTTCTGAAATTATATTAGAACCTTACTCAGCCTTTACAATGAACTGATATTTAAGCATGAACTATTTTTAAATAATAAGTATAACGTCTGTTGAGTACATGCTAAGCACTGATACTAGATGTATACTATCTCATTCTATTTCCCAGGAGCTCCAAGAAGTATAGGTACTGTTACCATATTTACAAACAGTTTGGGGAAAGTTGTTTGTATTCAGAGCCAGAATTAAAACCTAGATCTGTCTCAGTAGAGCCCCTGGTCTTAATTACCACACTGTATTACCTGAAGGAAAAATGTAAGTGATACTCTCGTTACAGCTGGTGACCCAAGTAGTGTCTTTCAACCAACTATTTAAATGTGTATTTTATATATATATATATTTTAAGGACCATGTTAAGCCCAGGAAATTTTAGTCTCAGAATTTGATTATAGATGAAGGAAAATGTTACCTACAAATAATGTTTTGTTTTCTAAAAAGAAAACTATCAAAAGGCACTTTGACATTGATCTTTTGTTTCAGTGTTTTCAGGAATGTTTTAAGTACTGGAAATGTTTTAGTAAAAACAGACTAAAGTGAAACATTGAACAATGAATCCTTTAAAGGACAAGGTTGTAAGGACATTTGGTTTCAATTGTGTTAGGACATGTTTTTCTACTTCATTTGGCTGCATGTGACATTACAGTAGTTGCATTCATCCTGAAGTTCACTACCTTAAAGAGTTTTCAGAAGTGGTAATGGTAAAAAAAAAAAAAAAAAAGCCATTTGTGTCATTTACTCAAGAAAAATGCACAAACAGCCTCTATTAGATTTCTTGATTTTGGACTGTGTGTAAAATTTTGTTAGGAGAAATTCTGTCTTTATGAGTAAGTAAGCAAATTGTTATTTTTAATAATGTAATTTCTTGGATAACCTTCAAAAGCTGTTTGTAAAAACAATAAAAGTTTCTTAGTTATAAAAGGTTGGGAACAAAAGTTCTGTTATTCCTCCAGAGGAAAGGCATGCTCTTCATAAAGATCTCACTAGTTGACTAATTTATGAGAATTAGAAAGAAAGTTAGGGAAGCTTTCTTCAATTCTGAAGACAAGGAATTTGAAATAGCTGGCTGATTGGGACCCAGAAAAAAGGCAGATTAATCTGGATACCATTAAAAATGAATCACCATAAGTTTTCTTCTTTCTTGCAGTTTATTTATGTGAATCAGTCCTTTGCCCCCTCCCCAGACCAGGAAGTTGGAACCCTTTATGAGGTAAAACATTACTGCTTTATTTTTGTAATGGAATATGCACACCTGTGTATAGTATGATCATTAAAATTAATTCATACCATTTTAAGAGATGATAAGCCAACCTTACTTGTCTAAAAAGAAACAAAGAGATTGCTTTCTTGTTCTTAGTTACATCTCTAACACCTTGAACATAGTTGGAACTCAGTAAATTATACAGTGATTGAAGAATTAAGGATTGAGTAACACAAGCAGAAGATGACTATGAAATATGCCCAGGAAATAAAGTCTCCTCTTTTTTTACCTACATTTAGTTTCTTCTACATTGTATAATCAGTAATCCAGATCTCCTTCCATGAAATTGAAAAGAGGACTGTGAAAGAATGGCTTTATGTGTAAGAATGACTAGCAGCACTACAGAAAATAGTACATACATTATAGTCAGATGTAGAGAAGGGTTAAGATTAAAATATGTATGTCTGTCCATGCCTACAGTGCTTAAAGGACAAGTTATATGAAACATTTCTGATTACTGATATGTGTCCGATAGCAGCTAGCATCTGTTGAAAGAAATAGCCCTATAGATAATTTACATGTACATGTATGAGGATATTTATGATGTAACTTTTTTTCGTAGTTTCATCTAAGAATGACAAAAATTGAGTTTAATTTATTGGCTTTTTTCTTTTTCCAGTGTTTTGGCAGTGATGGTAAACTGGTCCTGCATTACTGCAAATCTCAGGCATGGGGATGAACTACAGAGGGAAGATCTTGCTAACTTAAAATGAATCTTCACAAAGGAAACAGCCCTGAAAGGCTTTGATCTTGTAGCAGGAGACTTATGGATATGTTCTATTCAGCATGTATCTACTATGACCCATGTTTATACATTTAAAAAATCCACAGAGTAGATGGACTCACAAAAAGTGATTTGTATTAATATACAAATCATTGTAAAAGATTGATATTACAGTATACCATTACTATAGCTATTGCTCTAGGGCTGCCTCCAGCATATTGACAAGGAGACTAAAATTATGTAAACCTGCTTTTGTACCCCTTCTCAAAATGACTGAAATTCTTTACTTGTAGAATTAGCATGGTGCTGTTTTTCCCCCCACTATAAAAGTCAATTTACTAAAGGATTCTTATTGGGTGTATTCAGGGAAGTTCAGTTTGAAGTATGGGATATGCCTTTTCTCAGTTACATTTATATCCGATGTTATCTTGTGAAACAAATATCCAGCATAGTCCAGTAGAGGGCAACCCAGCTGGCAGAAAGAGGCAGTTTGGTTTTACGTCTTTGCCAGAAAGTAATAGCTATTCCTGCTAATTTCTAGGAAATACCTAGCCAGAAGAGCTCACGTGTTGACACACTGGAAGACTGCATTGGAGAAAATGCGTGGTCTAGGTTTCATATTTTTGTTGGGAAATAAGGAATTTTACAAATTCTGGACAAACGAGTCACCTAGCTCTTTCAGTCCTATCATTTAATGATTCTTGAGTCCCAGTGGTTTTAACTGCGGTGGTATTCTCTCTCTTATTTTTACAGTGTCAGAAGCAATCGATAAGTAAACCTGGCAGCATCTTTGAGTTTTTAATAATGTATTTTCCAACTTGAAAATGCTCAAAAATAACTGGAAAATAGCTAGATTTTATGTGTATTTCATGCCATGACTGAAAGTACCATTTTTACTGATGCTATTAAACTGATACTTGCTTGAAGTGAGGTTTAACTTTTTTTCTTCATTCTGTATACTTGTAATGCAGCATTTAAAAAAAAAAGCATTCCAGTAAATTGAATGGAATGTTCAAATAGAATCTAAGGTATGTACAAGAATTCTGTGTGTATTTTCAAAGCTAATGAGAATGGTATGACTTTTTCAAAGGACTTTGAACTATATACTTATGTCCTTTAAGTCCAAGAATGTACTTTGTCGTTAATGATCTGCCATGCATTTGCATTAGGGGATGCTAAGGAACAGTTCCATTTAAGGTGATGAAATCACTGTTTCGCATTTCTGCCCAAGAACAAATTCTGTCTTATAAGATGAGGTAAGAAATTGGTACATATATTGAAAGCTGGAAAGTATTACTTTCAAGTCAAATAAGTTGGATGTGGAAAAGATCTGTTCTCTAGTTTTGTGCTCTTAGAATTTACTGAAAGATACAAATATATTTATCTATATGCATATATATTTAACAAATAACAAATGTGTTTAACCTATGCATAGTTTATGTTTGCTGCTAAGGTTTCAACTGGTAGAATATTTACTTATCTCAACAATCAAAACTACTTGAGTTTGAATTTGTGTGATCAACTTAATTGTTCTTTTTTTATCTAAATGATTTATTAATGTATTAAATTTGAGGTTAGTTAAATATGTATATTTTGTTTTCTTCCCTCATAACGTTTAAGAATACCTAGGGCTTTACACTTTTTCAAACCATATTTACATTATTATCTTTTAACCCTTACCCAAAGAATTAATCATTCTGTGCTAACTTTGCAACATTTACTCATAAGCCTGGATCCCATAAGTTACTGGGTGACTAGAACCTAAAATACAATTCACGAAATATTTTTGCAGATGTCTGGTTTAAAATGTCTTAATTGTAATTGAGCTTGGGGGGAAACTGAAACCCTCAAGTTATATTTTAAGTTTTCCATGTTTGTGAGAAAATCGAGGTCTACTGTGTCATGCTTTATCTCAGCATGGAAAGATGACCTGTGGTATACAGGGTGTATATAAGAATATTGTGCTTCCATCTTTGAAGCTACCTATGCCAAGGGTTTCACAATGAGTTCTCCCTGTTTAGGGGATAAGGTAAGCTAACATTGTTTATCTATAATCAAAGTAATACTGAATACTCCCTGGTATCTATGATTTTCTAGAAGTTCTAACCCTGAAGAGACCTTAAATATCATCTACACTGATAAGAGTAGAAAACTCAGAGAGGTGCATTTTTAGATTCTATAGCATTAGTCAGCAAGTTTAGTTGTGTGTAACCCAAAGCAGGAAATCGCAGTATTCCGGGGTATGAAAATGAAAGTCACCTTTTATATAGCTTCTGCTTCATTTCCCAAGGATTATAATATATTTAGTAAGCTTCTGGAACTAAGAGAATTCAGCTACAGACCACATAATAGAAGGAAAGTATTCAGAAAACAGTTCAGCAGTTTTAGTCTTACACATACTACTTTCCTGCAAAATTGTTCAACCCACACTGGATTATTCACTCTTCCCTGGACATGCCTTGTGTTTTTTTGTTTCCTATGTCTATTCATGCAGTTCACTTCTGGAAATGTACTTAAACCTCCACCCCTTCAAGTGCTACCTCTCTGCCTAATGCAGATTTTAACTTCCTTAAGGCTTATCTGAATTGCTCAAGGAGGAGGTACTCTCTTCCTCGTAAGAACATAGCAGTTACCACTGTTAACAGCAGTTACTGCACTTGCTACCTTATAAGCATGACCAACACCCTTTCATCATTGTAATGTCCCTGACAATAGGACGTTTGGTTTTTTTTTATTTGGTGCCCACATGCATAGTACTTTTTACATTTCCTTACACTCATACATAATCAGTAATTCATTATATACTACTGTGTTTATGAAATTACCTGTGGCTTGCAGAATGATTTAACTTAAAGCAGCAATGAAGTAAATTTACATGTTTTAAAATTTTTGTATGGCAGAAGATGAAAATATTTGTAACCTGACAGGGTTTTGATGTCCAATAATTGAATAGCTCATTTCAATTGATAAAAAAAAGACCACTGGGAAAATATATTAAAATGTAACTCACCAAAAATAAAAATATAGATGGCTAGCATGTAAAGTGCTGAACCTCATTAGTTATAAAAACTACAAGTAAAAGCTGAAATGCTGATTATCACCTCTCATAGTATCAATAGTTAAGAATAATTACCAATATTGGCAACATTGTGGAGAGGTAAGTCCTGTCATATTCTTGTTGAATTAAATGTGAATTGATACTACATTTTTAGGGGACATTTTGGCAATATCAAAAGGCTTGAAACTATAAATTTCCATTTGTTTATTCACCTATCAAGTGCCTAATGTTCCTAAGCATTGGAATAAGACATAAGGTCCCTGTTCTCCTGGAACTTTCATTCTAATTGGGAGGTAGACTGTCAGGTATGAACTTAAATAATTCTTGAAATTTTACGTTGAATTTTTTGAAATAATGGAAAGGAAAAAGACACTTGATAGCAAATATTAAATTTACCTGTGATTTACATGATACTGGAGGAAAGATAAAACATTTATGTATATGAGTGACTAGAATCTTGTGTTAGAAGAATCCTTAGAAATCAACTCCCGTAGTTCATTCTATGTCCTCATAGCAGATACACCTGAAACTTAGGCTGATTACTTCTAGTGATGGCCACAAGGAAGGCTCTATCCATTTTGAGGTGACTTAGATGTCATTTTTACTTTCTGACAACGTTGTTAGAATACTTGTAGTGTCATCAGTTTAACCAAGGATGTTAAACACTTCAGGCAACACAGGTAAATTTAATATATACATTATATACATACACATATGTATGTACATACATACATTGGAACAAAGTCTAGGAAAAAAAGTTCAGAAGTCTAGATCTTTAATAACTCTGAGTCATTAAAGTTATTAAAGATTACTGCCATTTCTTCTGTCCCTCATATTTCTCTTATTTTCGTTCATACTTAATTTGTGTTATTCTCAAAGCTTGCTACATGCTATGCACAACACAAAAATGTATTTCCGTATATGTGTGAGCCTACCAGTAGACTCCTTCAAGCACATGCTTATTATTGAAGGATTAGAATCTTAAATTACTGCATCAGGAGTAAAAAAAAAAAATCAGCATTTCTTTGAACCATTACTTGAAACATCAGGTCTTTGCACTGAGTATAGTGTTCTTAGTGAAATGTTTGATTTTTAAAAATCCAAGAAGGGATACCAGGCCTTCCACTGTTTCACTAGTCTTGCTGTAGACCCGAGTCTCCTTTGTCAAACTGTACTTTCAGTACAGCACATTTAAATTTTTTTAATAGAAGACTGAATTATTTTCACCGAGCCTTGAAGCATATGGTTTCAGTCGACAAAATAGTAGCTCTTCAGCCTTGGGAGTGGAATCCATCCTCAACTTTCTCCAACTCTTCACAATCCCTCGGCTCCATTTGGAAGGAAGGGTCCCTTTCCTTCCCATTCCTTCCTCAGCGTCCTCCATCCTTCTCCAGACCCCTTCTATCGACGTCTTAGCGTCGCGAGCCACCGCGCAGGAGAGGATCCCCAGGGAGCGGCGGAGGGGCGAGGGTGCGGGGAGAGGGGTTGGGATGGGCGGCCAAAACGCGCTCTGCTAAGGTGGGGGAGAGATTGCACGAAGCCCACCGGGAGCGCTGGGACCCAGGAAAGAAGGGCTCCTGGAGGGCCGGAGGGCCGAGAGTGTCGGGGCTGCGTGCGTGGGCTTTGCCCGCACGCCCTTGCCACCCCTGCCACCCTTCTCTGTTCGCTCCACGCGTCTCCCCACCCTCTGAGGGCCGTTGGTACATTCCCGCAGACTCCGAGAGCTTAAAAGGGGCCGGGGAGGCTTGAATCCCCAGGTTTGGTCCAGGCTTGTGTGGGCGGCACGTCTTTAGATGCGCAGCCCTGCCTGAGCGGGTGTCTCTTGATATCTTGACGAGGGTTTCTTTAAGCTGTGGCACTCGTATTTGGAGGCTTTGTGTCTGTGTGTAACTGTCTAGCTAGCAGCTCGCGCCCCTAGTCCCCGGCTCCTCGGCTCGCTCAGCCCCAGCACTGCTGCCCAGCAGCAGCGAGACGTTTGCCGCCAGCTTCGCAAGGGATGGAGCAGACCGAGGTGCTAAAGCCACGCACCCTGACCGACCTGATCCGCATCCTGCACCAGCTCTTCGCCGGCGAGGAGGTCAATGTGGAGGAGGTGCAGGCCGTTATGGAAGCCTATGAGAGCGACCCGGCCGAGTGGGCAATATACGCCAAGTTCGACCAGTACAGGTGAGAGCGCTCTCGCCCTGCCCGCGGAGGATCTCGGGCGCCTGCCTCGCTGCCAAGCGGCGCCGACTCGGAGTCGGAGCGGGAGCGGGCGCGGG